ATGTAGTGTGTGTGTGCACACATGCGCACGCGCATGTATGCGTGTAGTAGCTAGGTCCGGGAAGTTAACGTGTTCTTAATCAGCACTGCAGTTAGAAGTTGCAATGCATTTTCTCAAAGAAACCAGGCTGTAAATAATAACTGAGTTAGTTATGAAGGAGTAGGTTCTGTGGGTTGGCCTGAAAATTCTGCCACCATGTAGAACATTATTTTCATGGGAAAACTCCAAATGCCCAGTAGTTGAATGGAAAATGGATCTGGAGAAAAAAAATCTATTCATAAAATGGGTAATGTCTGTTGTTTTGTATTCTTATCACATACACAGGGAACTCTATAGAACAAGCAGTAGGAGGCAATTTATTAAAGGAAAAAGGATACAAAAACAACCACTATTGTCTATCTAAAACTGACAGCTGATCAGAATATGAGTACACAAATATAATGACACATGTGGAGAGATGAGGATTCAAAGTATAAAACGTATGCTTATATACAGCCCCAAAGCAATATTGGTGACTGTCAGCTTTTAGTGCTTTATAAATGGTTGGTTATGTAAGAGTATATTAATGGGGAAATATGTGTGTACATATACACATACATAAGAAAGGGGAGGTTGTCAGCACACAGTGTGGCTCTGCAGAAATGAAAGAAGGCATATAAGCTTAAGAATTATGTATATATGTATACCTATATGTTTATATATACAGAGATACATGATACACTACACACATGTAAGCGTAAAGTGATTTCATTTCATGAGGGATGTATTCAAAGATTTTGAAAATTAAGTCTCATAATTTGAGTTCTTTTCTCAATGAAACAAAAGATAAACAGATGGGTTCTTATAGTTCATAACTATGATCCTCATATCATATTTTTGTTTTAAAATATACTTAGGTAGAACAAACATTTGAAGTAAAACTTTTTACATTACTATATCCACCTTTAAAATAATTAAAAATACCACATGCCTTAGCATAGACGATAATCTTACTTAAAGACACATTATAGCCATTCCGATTTGGCCCCTGGTGCCAGCATTTTGTCCATCACCCTTACTTGCTCATATAACAATTTTCAAGAACTTACAGATTGTATGCTTTAGTGCTTTTATTCTGCTGGCATTCTGGCTAACGACTGAGTTCTTTCTCCTACGTTAACAATAATACTATCATGACAGGTTTTTGGCTTTCTTCATAGCATTTTGCCACATCTAACTTCTAACTTCCAAAATAACTCATTTTCAAATATATTTTTCAGCATTAGAATGTAATGAATGATTGGCAGAAAGTGTTATAGGCTTTAAAAATAGTATTAAATTATAATCAGTTTAAACTACCAATACTAGAGTTGACAAAACCATATAGACATTTAGATGTCTGTAAATAGCACAGGTCATATACTAACAAAGGATGGCAGAATGGTACCACTTTAACTGCAGTAACAAATGTAACAAGTCATATTGCCTGCCAACTTGAAATACCAGATTCTTGACAAAAGTTTTGTGTTTCTATAGTACTGATTTTGCTAGAGTAAGAACCTTAATATTAATCTGTACAATTTCAAATTTGTGTTATTTAAAAATTACATTAAGAATAAGTAAGGTATGGTTATTGACAAATTTCAAGGTAAATAATAAAACTCTGGCTTGAGTTTTGTTTTGTTTAAAAAAAAAAGACTGGTACTAAGCTTTTGTACAAATACTCAGAAATTCTTGCCATAAGTTAATTCCCAGAGAAAGTTAGATATTTGCAGACTATTGTTTCTTTCCTTTCATATAATTTGAGTGTTTGTCAATAGCAAAGGACTGTTTCATGTGTCAGTATGCGTGTGTGTACTAGTATCATATTAAGATCGTTTTGTCAATCGATTATGATACTGACAAGACAGATGACCCACCCCCATACCTAATCCCTTTCCCAAACAAAAAACCTATTGGATAGCTATGTGGAAATATTATAAACTGAAATGTGAAACTACATATAAACATAAAATCTAATTATTCTAAAATAAAGTTTGATCTAGTATAGCCAAAAATACATTGTACCAATAGGGAGTCAATATACACGAAAGGAATAAATATAAATTTACATGGACATTATCAGGATCTCCCAATTTGAATAATTTCCCTCAAAACAGACATACGAAGGATATAACAGAGAAGAAAAAAACGAAGTCTGAGATTATAACTAGGTATATCTGATTAGAGGTGTAACTGCCCCCTAGTGACAGAATATTATAATACACTCTAAAAACAAATCATCCAAAAGATCTACATTAATATAGAAGCTGGAAATAAGAATGCTTAAAATTGATGTTGCTTCCAAAATTTACAATTATTCCTTTTTCCTTCATTTGTTCATTCATTTATTACTTCGCTTTATATACAATAAGGAATAAAACAGGAATGATTTTATCCTTCATTGCAGTCTCTTGAAAGATATGCAAGTAAACAAAGAAATATATAATTAACAGATTATGATAAATGCTATAAAAGAAATGAACAGGGTGCTGTAATGGAGAATAATGAATTCGGGGTAATAAGAGACACCCTATTTTGGCTTAGGTGGCTGGGCAAAGCCTTGCTAAGGAAGTACGTATAAACTAAGACTAGGCAGATGAAAGTCCTGTATATAGGATTTTCAAGATGAACATGGGTGGGAGTGGAAGTGTACTAGGCAGCAAAAAAATGTAGTGTACAAAGTCTCAAAATTAAAAATTCTTGATCTTTCATCTTTATTCTAGAAACTGGCTTCGGCTTAACTCTATCTTTTGTGAACCTAGTTTAGCTTACCTCGAGTTTATATTCATATGCCAAAATTCTGGACATGTTAGGATGCTTGATCTTTAAAGCTTCTAAGTCTACATAAGTGCAGAATTCTTATTAAACTACTGAAGACTGGAAATTTTCTGTATTTCTGGTGTACTAAGGATAAAAAGATTGTTTTAGTGGTTATCTTGGTATAAGATAATGGGAAGTCTTTTCTAATGTATAATAAACAGTGAACCTGTATTAATAACTACATTAACGATAACAGTTAATGTTTAAGTAATTGTCTTCACAGCCACTGTAGTTATGAGGCCGCAGGTTTTTTAAGGCTTTTGTAACTGGGGGTAGGAGAATGAGAGTAGGCCAAGTTAAAATACCACATCCTATTGTTCTTAGCAAGGTAGGCACTTACTAAGTACTTTATTTCCAATATCCCATTTCATCTTTAAACCCATGAGGTTAGAGTTATTATAATCCTATTTTACAGAAGAAGAAAACTGAGGCATAAAAATATTAAAGTAGCTTGCTCCAGGCCTCATGGCTAGTAAGTAACGGCGTTGGTTTTAGAACCACAATCTGTATAATTCTAGTCTATGCCCCATTATGCTACATACTACTTTTCATTTGTGAAAGAATAATTAAGAGAAACTAAGTTTAGTTAAAAGTATAGCTAAATATGAACTCACGAGGGAGATAAAAATATAAATTTTATAGAATATGTACTGTATATAAATTATCAATGAGTTCTTTCACTAAATAAGTCATTCCTAACCATGGTATGTATGTGAATCGTGTGGGGCGTTTTAAAAACTTACCTGCAAAACCTCCCACAGATGATGTCTGCACTTTTAAAAGTCCTACAGATTCTAACTCAATCCCATCAAGAACCACTTCATAAGAATAAAAACTCCTTAAAATTAGTACTATATAAACTATTTAATCACCTAATTCCTGTAACAGTTCACACAGGAAAGATACTTCTTAGAGAAAATGGCACAAAGGAAAAAGCACAAGTTTAAGAATTAGAGAGACTTAGGTTTGAATCTTAGCCCACTCACTTGCTATATGTACGACTCAAGGGAAAATTAACTTCTCTAAATGTTAGTTTCTTCACCTATAAAATGGAAATTTTTTTAAAACATCTACCTCTTAGAATTGCTGCAATCATAGATAATGCATGCAGGAATGTAGTAAGTGTTCAACTGGTAGTTGTTATAATTAATCCCAAAATTGCCGAAACAAATATTAGATTTGGAAATTCAACAAAAATAGTGAGTGCCAACCTAGGACAAAGTATACTCTGTGAAGTTACCAAAGTGATAACAGTCTTTCAAGAGCTCATGATCTAATAAAAGAGCAGGGCATTCTCTCTAAAAAGGGAAATTGTAATAAGCATTAACACAGAGAGGTATATTTCATATATCATGAGGAAATGGAGGAAGGAGAATTCTGATGTAGAAATGGTTCTTAAAACTGCAGTATGAACTGTGCCTTAAAAGAAACATATGTTCCTTGGACCTTATTCCAGATCAAAGGTTCGTAAACTTTAACATGCATCAAAATTACACGGAGGGTTTGTGAAAACACACATCGCTAAGCCCTACCCCAGAGTTTCTGATTCAAGAGATCTGGAGTGGGGCCTGAGAACCTGCATTTCTCAAGTGACATTGATGCTAATGGTTAAGAGAAACTTCTTCAAGAACTATCACTCTGGACAGAGAGTGCTTGAGCAAAACTGATAAGTGATATACAGGGATATCCCTGAGCTGTATAATATGGGCTTTGTGTGAGTGGTTAAGGAATATGGTTAGAAGTCTAGAAGAAACTTAATAAAAACATTGCCTTCTCTAATAAGAGGTAGATAAATTACCCTTCCTAGGAAGGTGATCTAACATTCAGGATTAAGTTAAAACTATTTAACTACCCCTCATGATATGAAATTATCTTTAATCTGTTATCTTTCAATACCACTTGCTATTCCCAGCTTTGCATTACACAGGTAAACATTAAGGTAATGAGGCAACAGTAGATTGGGGGCACAACGATAATTAAATGTAAAAATATTAGAAACAGTGTCACTCTTATTTTTTATAAATGAGAATATAACACTAATACATCTTGAATTTTAATACTTTATTTAGTGTGCTATAGGTTAAAATTATTCAAAAACACAGAGTTGAAACCTATTCAATAGTGTCATTTATAAATTTCGAAGAATCTCCCATACTCACCAAAACCATCAATATCTAGATTATTTTCAACCACAACGTCTAGCAGAGAGTCACCAACTTTTCCTTCGGCTGTTAATGTTTCACCATCGCGGTTTAAAAAGTGGACTGTTACTTTATCTTCTGAGCTGGAAAAGGAAGCAGAGTTATATTATTTTCAGTAATTTCAAAAGATACTTTAAAATAATTGGTTTAAGAATATGTTGCATGGTTAAAGAAATGGTGTGTGTGGGTGTTTGTGCGCACATGCACATGCAAATATGCTCTTTTATAGTATTTTCTTTTCTTTCCAAAGTTCATTTGGGAAGAAGACACCACAAATCAAGGGTATGTCTATCTGCCTACCTACCAGCAGAGCTCTAGCACTTTAAAGGAAATGGCAACTGTACAATGCTGTAAAGTCCAACACAGGGAATATAGTCAATGGTATAGTAATAACTATGTACAGTGTCGGCTGGGTACTAGGCTTATCTGGGGAAAGGGGGGGTCACTTCATAAGTTATATAATGCCTAACCACTATGCTGTACACCTGAAACTAATATAATATTGAATGTCAACTGTAACTGAAAAAATTTTTTTTTAATTAAAAAAAGAAATAACAACTACAACACTAGCAAGGCCATGTGTCTATGTACACCATGTACGTCCTTAGTGGTCATAGTCACAGATTACAGTCATACAAAAACATTCAGCAATCATTATCACTCATGAAGTCTATTTTACTCTCACACAGCTCTAAAAATCAATGTCTCTATGAATGTATCCTGAAAAACTAGACCATGGTTGGGGTGAGCTTTAGAAAAACAAATCATTCTGCTATCAACAAGGCAACTGTCCAGGTGTCTGATAAGTCCTGTTGTTGACAGGCAGCGGTTTGAGTATCTGAACATATTATTTTGGTCCACTTTGTATAGTCAAAAATCAAAGTGACGAGAAAAGGTTGTTTGTTTGAATCTGTAGGAAGATAAATATACCTCCTTATGTGTTCCTCTATAGGATATTATATTATCTATCAGCTAGCTGATCTAAATTTCTTTCCCTTCTCACAAACATCGCACCAAAATTTAGGAAAAGAAATTATACTAGTGATTGGATCCTTATTCTCCACTACTGGTCATTGTAATTTTTACCTCACAATTGAAAAGATGTACTTCAGCATAAAATAATTAGTTGTAATTTTCACTACTGCTAGTAGCTAGTAGTCCGTCAAAGAAAACTTTGTTAATATCAGTAAAATTTACAATTAAATAACTCCAGAGCTATAAATATCTTGCAAATTGTCAAATCAAATTATCTCATTTTACAAACAAGGCAACTAAAGCCCCTCTCAGATAATGGCCTCTCTAATATTTCAACACTGAAAAAAATTCATTAATTAAAAATTATCAAAAGTGTGTGAAAGTCCCTCAAAGGGCCTTTGCTCTCCAACTTTTCATAGCAAAAAAAAAAAAAAAATGCTTTAAAAACAAGTATTTTGAAAATTATTCATGAGTTTCAAGGTAGAATGGCTGAGAATGAAGATACTCTGGAGGCAGGGAGACTAATTTGTAAGTTATTAAAAGAGCATAAACTAAGCAAGGATGTAGGAAATATTGACTTAAGAAATATTCAGGAGGTAGAAAGACAAGATTTCATGCTCTGGGAAGTAAATATGATCCTTCCAAATCTACTATTGATTTATCAGCCAACAGCTCAAAAAACTATGTTCTTCACTTGTTACCTTTTATTCACAGTCATCTATTCTGCTCAAACACAGCAGATATTTTAACAAATCTGTCAAAGGTTGCTGTGCTAAAGTTCTTAACAGAATTCTAACAGGGGAATTACAGCTGCTGATGCCTACCCTTTCACCATATAAGGCAGCCAGGGATGGTTGGTCCAAGAATAGGGCCCAGTCCAGGGATCCCGATTTCTATAGCTACCTTGACTCTTTCAAATGACCCTATGAGCTAAAGAATTATCAACTACT